GTAAATACTTTTAAAATATTTATATTTTTTCCACTCACAGTACTATGTTCGGAAAATCAATCCGGTTGGTAAACAGTTCTTATGTCAGTATCGTCCCCTGAAATACGATATAATTTTTTAAATAATTAATTAATTATTTTAAATAATTTCAATAATTAAATAGGCGATACCCAAACTTAATCATTTCACATTTAGGCGATTTCTACAGTTTCTTTAATAACTAAAACCACTTTTTCTTTTACTTTACTCAATTTCATAGTTTATTATACTTAACCCCTTTAATAAAATTGAATTTAGTTTAAAAATCTAACAATTATAAAATCAAACATAACTTGACAATAAGTAATTTTTTACTTACCTTTCAAAATTGAGGAATTCAAGCCTAATAATGTAGACCACTTATTTTCTAACAACATAGGCTAACTTTCCTCTTTTTTTTTCCTCCCTTTCTTCTCTTTTCTTCTTCTTTTCTTCCTTTCTTTCTACCGATTTTTCACTGTTTTTGTCCCAATTCGTTCTCAGCTTGCTTGTGTGGATGTATGTAATATGAATAATGAAGAAATGGCATGCAAAGTGCCACTTGTAATCCACCACCCAACCCTTTTGTTATCAAGTCCTCCAAGCTTCATATGATATCTTATTAAGTCATCTAACTTTTAATAATTAATAAGTATTTCTCCAAATTTAAATTTTATCCATCTTAAACCTTCTAATGTTGTCGATTTGTAAAATAAACTCCCAAAAATAATTTGGACAATTCAAGTCCCAGTAAAATGATTTACTTCATTTAAGACATTATTTGACTTTGACTTTGACTAGTCAAACATTGACTTAGAATAAATAGTATTGACTTTTGACTAATACGAAATGGGATGTAACAATCTTTGATTAAATAGTATTGACCTTTGACTATTATGAAATGGGATGTAACAATTAACATGTGACCGTTGACAATCAAAGATCATAATAGCGAGTTTATTTAGCAATATTTAATTAAATAATATGAAAAAAATTTCAATTTTTATATAATACACCAAAATGTAAAAATAATATAAATATGAAAATATAATTCAATACAACTCAAAGTACTAAAAAATACACGATACAACTTTACTCTATAAATGTGAACTTAGACAACTGCATTATACGGGGTCTCATATTTTGAAAAGTTAAAAGTTACATTTCCATTGCAATCAGAGTTGTATATTTTGAAGATAACTAAGACAACTTTAATAAATTAATAAATTGATGAAGTATCTATTAAGCTCCGATATCAAATTATTGAATTTTAAACACCAAGAAAATAGAATTTTATTGATGAAATGAATTTTACACAATTTGAATACAAACTCACACTTATTTTATTTGTAGGACACCAATCTCACATTTAATTCTCACTATCTTAATTCACTCTAATTTTACAGATTCTCTCCACTCACTCTCTTTGTCTCTCTCCACTAACATTACTTCCTTAGCTTCTTTCTATGATCCACTATTTTCTTCATGCAGTCTTCACACTCCCACACACTTTCACACTCACACAAAATACAAGTAGCAAGGATATATATAGATGTTAAAGATCAGCGGCTGATTCTTCTACCTAATTCTAGTATGTTGGTGAAGGTTGATGCATTCTAGAGTAATCCTTTGATGGAAATGGACTTTGTTTCCAGCAACTACTTACAGTTACACAGTCCGATCAACATCGGTGGACGGTGGCGCCAACAACAGCAACCGGGTAGAAGAAGTAGAGAATGAAGAAGGAAGGATTTGTTTGCTTGTTGAGGTTGTCGGCTTGGGTGTTTGAATTGCTACCGGTATCCTCTAGATCAATTGGTTGGGCCAATTTTTTTTTTTCTTTTTTGTGAAATTTTGGTAACTGCATGCTATAAAAATATGTATTATTCCAGAAATACTGACAGAAATTTAAAATCGCTCCATTACTTTGGGATATGGTAAATAATTTAGAAAATACAACATACCATACTTAACCTCAATGAACATTTGTAACTGACGTGATACTGAAATAATTCCTTGTGATACGTTGACATTGAATGACTTGCCAAACAGATTGCATAATTTAGAATGCTTGAATAGAGGAGTAACACATATCCAAATTTAATTGAATCATATCATCATCCATTTCGTTCATCTCCTAACCAAGAGATCAAGAAATTAATACGACCGTAAAGATCCTTCATCTGTCATTACTATTTCGGTTTCAAAGAGGTATTTGAGTTGTAATTATATTTGAAATCCTCATGCATGGTGGGGGTAATGTGGTGTAAATTAGCGTACAAAAACCAGGAAAAAAAATAAAAATATGGCCACGATACACATCCTGGCATATTGCAATAATCGTTGTTCATGTTAGCTGTACGTATCACAAGAAATACCATTACCGCAACATCATGTGTTTTGTAGTGTAAGAAATTCAATATTTTCGTAACACATCGTTGCATGTTTCAGTTGTATGTGTTAACGCTGATGACTGTTGACCATTTTCACTCACACACGTCTGTATATTGCAACACAATTGCCCAACGGAAAAACCTTGCGTGAAAACGTACAATAACAGCACCTTCGAAATTTTGATTGATGGGGTGATCATACTATATAAGATTATAACTTCGATATTTCATGTAATGTGACCTTAGATGTCCCCCAATGGTTGGAATATATTGGACGACAATACCTGCTGTTAAGCTAGTAGCAAACTTTTTATAGCCGAAGAATAACCCTTTTGCTTAAATGTGTTGCAGATAATGGATGGTGCGCACATGTTTGTAATTAATGGGGTATATACTTTTGGAATGCTAGTTCCTATCGGATGCAAGTACGTTTGCCTTGTGGAGACGATAATGAGTGAGATGAAGCTTGATAAGAGGGTTACAAGGCTTAAAATTGAGTACGTTGCTGACCTTGAATGTCACCAATACGGATTGTTCTGGATGCCTCATTATGGGAATTATGCTGAATTGCTGTGTGAAGGGGCAGGTTTCTGGGGATGTAGAACTTCATTGATTATTCAAGGAAGAAAAAGGAATGGCATGTTTGGGGGCATCCATTCAGGTCATAAATTGGTATGCAAGATGAGTGAAGGGATTGACAATTTTTGCATAATACTACATTTTTTGAAGTAAAAACTGAAAAAAAAAAATTTATTATATAGTAGTTACTGAAATTATTTTTAAAACAAGGTGATGCGCATAATTTCCTCTTTTTTTTTTAAAAAGGCCCAGCTCTCAGAGTCTCAGCCCAAACAATAGGGCCAAAAATACCCAAATCTTTCATTCATCTTCTTCCTCGATTCCTTCTCTTTTTCAGTTTTTCCAGCTATTTAACTTCCACCCAATAGTCCCGGCGACTATTGAAGACTCCAGCGGAGCCAGCACATGCGGCCGTGTCCCCTCATCGGGTGCTGGCTCCACGCCTAAGTCTACACGCCTCGCTTCAAAATCGAGTGTAACGTTGGGAGAAAAATTGTTGTGTTCTGTGTATTCCAAAATCTTTGTTCATGGATTGCCGCTGTGGGCCTTACCTTTTGTTGGTCTCTTCAATTTTGAGGGATATGATAATTCACATCTCATTTGAATTCAATATTCTGTAGATTAAGAGGAAAAAAAATGTTTTAATATAATTTTAAAAAAATGGCAAATTACACCAACTGCTCACTTAGGTTTTCCTTAAAATCTTACTACACAATACAAAAACTAAAGCCCAAGCCTGCCCACCTCCATCCGGTCCTAACAGCAACAATGTCTTTTCATCCCCAACTGATTTTTGGCTTTCTTTGATATATGTCAATTTTAAAAGACACCTTTCAATTTTTACAATTTATCGAAAATGATGTAACATATATCTATATATAGATACATAAATCTCCATATAGATTTAAGCTTCCTATAATCATAGGTGTGGAAAGTAGATTGAATTCCGTATCATTGTCTCTACCTTTCTTCCACACTTTCCTTGCATGCTTCACACTTTTATATCGTATCTCTCAAAATCAAGCTTCATATTGTGTTTACTGTAGAACGAAATATAAAGTCTCTTATATAAATTGATATTCCGGTTGTCTTCGTGCTTGCACAACACATGCGACATTAAAAGGTTTGATATTACCCTAAAGGGCGTCTTTGCATTCCATTTGCATCATAGAATTGGTGGTGTGACAAATGATGTATTAAGAAAAGTAATGTTATAGCATGCCTTGAGACAGGTCAAATCGTAGTTTCAGTTTTCTGCAGTTTTCAAGTTCTTGTTCTTGTGCTCTTTGTTCTCGAGTTTTATTCAAGACGAATCTATGGGATGCACAACTGGACAATTAATGAGTTCAATAATTGTCTATATTGTCAATATTAGCAATGGGGGTTTTGGCCTTTATTAGCTATTTAATGCTAAATAAACTCAAGAGTGATGATAATAAATCGGGTCGGATTAATTCAATAGACCTTGAGCCCGTTGTTGAATATTATATAACGATTGACCCAATGTTACAATTGGCAAGCCAAGGTACCGAGGCGGACATAGAATCTCTATGTCGTAATTAGGGCCGATTAGGGCTCAACCAACTTATATTTTACTTGGCCCATGTTTTGACCTTATTTGACACTATAAAGAATTACCCAACACATGGGTGCTCCATTTTATGCAATCTAATGAAAGCATAAAATGGAACAGAAAAGGCTACAAGAGAGAAAGCATCAACCTACACTAGACAATGCTACAAAAGTGAAAGATAGGCTCTAGTTATAAGAGGGAAAACAAAAAAGTAGCTTTTGGTTTTTTAAAGGATCAAACATAAATCTAGCCAAAAAGTAGTATGTCCAAATTTGCCTATCCAAATCAAAGCAATCAAATAGAGAATCATAGTCTGTTCCCTAATCCCTCTTCATCTCTGACCAAGAATACTTCTGGTCCTATGAATGGAGGACCCTACTAGAATAAAACTATAACAATTGACTTAGAATGAAATAAAACTACCATTTTAATTGCTTCTATTGAGCCCCAAAATCCCACAAATGAATAGTGGCATCTGCAGAACAAGCAGCGACATGCCTTTCATCAGCAATAAGGGCATTGCATTTACCTATCCTCTCTCTAAAATTGTATAAATATGATCCATGCTCTATTTCCCAAACCCTAATAACACCCCCTGCACACATTAGTCCATATCCACCATTTACACATCCCAAAATGCCTCTCTGAGAGGCTCCTCTAACTCTGAACCTACAAATCTCCTCCAAAGTATCCACCCGGCGGACGCTAGCCATGGTCCGCGAGTCGACTATTACCATCGATTCTTCGTTGGTATCGAAGCAGCTGACAGTGATTCCCCTTGGGATTTCTTCTTCCTGCAATACTATCCCTTGGTTTGTCAAATCAAGAACAAGAATCCTAAGGCTTGTGCACGCCACTGCAGTTCCGTGGCTTGCCACTCGAACTCGGCCAATAAGTTCGGTTAATTCATTCAGTAAATGCCACCCCATCACTGCATCTGGATCTGTTAGTACACCACCAACATAAACTAGCTCTTCGGTTTCACTATTCCACACATGAAAAGCACGGCCTGGAGCACCTGTAAAAGTATTCAAATATTACAAAAAAGATGTCAAAAATAAAACACACAGTAACATTAAATTCATTTCTGTTAAGATAAGAAATTTAAAACAGCCAAACATCAATGTTGAATTGCCAGCACCTGCATAGAGGCCAACCCACCACTGGTTACTGCCTGTGAAGTCGACTAAAACACCGTCATTAACCACATCTCCAACAAGGGCTCGGCGTAGTGGGGCAACAGCATTAATGACCGCAATGTGAATATCACCATCTAGTGTGGCGAATACTAGCTGAGTATCGGATAATATGATTCCTGATATAGCAGTGGAGAAGTGACCAAGGCGATCACGAGGCTGAGGATAGAAGGTAGAGAGGTGGAGCCTAGTGGGAAGGTGGAATAGTTGAACAGAACCATCAAAGAAGCCGGCTGCTAGGTGGTGGTCAGAGAGAGCCAGGCGACGGCAAGAGAGGCTGTCACTGTTGTTGCTATCTGTAGGGACAAAATGAAGAGTGGTGTATTCATATCTGTGCAGGCGGAAGTTGGCGGCTGTGCGGTGGCGGAATATGTACTCCTCTCGCCAAGTGTCATGAAGGCGATGCCTGATATTCCAGATATGTTGTGTCACGTTTTGCCATAAACGTTCGGATCGTGATATGGCTCGCCATGTAGAACATACCTGCATATGGTCCTTTATCAAGTGAGTTCCAAAACTTCAATAACATAAAAATATCAGTTATGCAACTGAAGCATCTACAATTTGTGGTGTAAATCATGGATTAGAACGATTTAATTGACCTGAGAAACTTAAATATCTAAGCAATGGCCTACAAGATGTATTTACGTGGTTATCATATCATCACCTTTGCATAACTCTTAGGTTTTCTTATTTTATGTGAATGCTTTATTTTGCTGCTAGTGATATGTCTAAACTAATTCGCAGCTGAACAAAATCATAATGAAGTGCTACAAAATAATGTTAAGCTTTGAGACGAGCCAATTAATCAAAAAGATTTCAAACTTTTGATGAATAAAAAGATTATTCATCTCTGACGTTTCTCTTCCTTTTCTATCTTTTCATTACACTTCCTCTCCTCGTCTACTTTGTCACCCCTTCAACCTTGAGCTTTTTTATTATTTCTCAGTTCCAACAATGCATTTGGATCTCCAAAATTTTGATCCCCAATCATAAATTTACATGATGACATTAGCCTCATACATTCAGACGATTATCAATCAATTATCTGAGGAAATATTGAATCCACCTATCTCATATAGGGTCTTGTTATTCGCGACATGTCCGTGTATACTCTCCTCGAGGAGGCCATATACAAATAGCATAATTCTTTTATATAACAATGTAGTTTAGGTAAGAAAAAGATGGGTAATGTAAAAACCCATTGGATCATATATAACATAATGTGTTATCCAGAGTACAAATGCCAATGTAGAATAATAAAGTCATACTTAGCTTTCTACTTATTCTCTCTCCTTCGTCCTTACCAAATCTCGTCAGAAATTTTACCCACCTCTTAGGAGTAATCAGAACTCTTCAAGTCTTACCTCGGGAAGCCCTAAATTATCTGTGGCTACAAATCCAAGATGATGCAGGCATGCCAAATCTAACCTTTATCAGAAAGCCATGCCATGCGCATCATTTTTCTAAACTGTGGAGGGGAACGTTGCTTTGCTAGTCAGGCATGCTTTCTCCTAGCAGCATGTAGCAAAGATAATACAGACAGACAGCTCAGTTAACTTCCTCAAGAGGAGAGTGATATGTAGATGTATAAATTCTTGTGTAGAGAGAGAAGAAGAGAGAGAATCAAAGAGAGTCAGATTGTCATCAGTCAACTAATAAAAGTGGTTTATTCGACTTCTCTTATCGCCAAAGACTTGTACTCTTGTCTTCAATAATTCATCATAAAAAACTGACAATTTACTTGTCTCTTAAACGTTACTATTCAGGTTATAAATACAGGTACAGATTTCTTGCTCAAGTACAAATCTAGACAACTTTACTTCTGTTAAAAATAATACGACTGCCCAAAAGATAAAGACAAAAACTTAAGAAGTCATTTTGTTCAGTTAATTTCTTGGATTTTTTTTAATTGTGGCTTTGTAATCTTATAGTATGTTCGAAGCAAAATAATTGGGGGGGGGAAAAAAAACGCAGAAGCATCCCAATGGAGAGGAAAATTTTTGAAAGTTAAGTCAAAAGGTATAGGATTTCTAGAGCTCAAAAAGGATAAGAAAGAAACAAGAAGAATCATAAGAACCCTTTTCTGTGTTAAGATTGGACGACTCTATTCAAGACAAACCCAATCCATAAATGGGCAATTTTTATGATGGCAGAGATGGGATTTTATAAGCTTTGGCCACGCAAAAAAAACAAACACACAGCATTATAAGTTTTCATATTTGCTTGGAAAAAGACTTGAAAATGGGATATCCTTTCTCAAATACAATCTTCCAAGTCCAAAAACACAGTTCAGCAAACACACCATTAATTCAAGGCATCTTTGGTAAGGGTGATCGAACAGTTTCTTATTTTATCATAATGTCTCGTCATGTCTAGTATCAAGTATCATATGAGCATTTACAGTCTTCGAATAATTAGATGATAGGTGAAATATGTAGACAAATAATTAGCAGAATCATATCATATGCTTATGAGACGGCACCTGAAAAATGTTGAAGAGAGCTTGAGCAGCAGCAAGGCGGCCAATGTTACGAGAAGCATCAATGGCTACTTGGAATGCAAGTGCTTCAACAAATGGATCAGGCCAAACACCATTGCTTGAGCGCATCCGCCTACGAGACGACGACGGCCCTTCAAACCCGCCCCCGCCCTGGCCCTCGCCACCATCTCCTCCTTGGACTTCTTCTGCCGGTGAAGTAGATGAAGAAGAAGATGTTGACATAAATATCGACCAACTGAAAACAACATGCGCATGCAAAGGAAAATGAATAGTTAACTTAACAGGCATTATATTTATACAGGTTTTGATCCGGACTTATCACTTCTACAGAGCCACTTGCACGTGTTTTCAGTAGAAACCTATTTGATAAAAGAAATATTTAAAAGTAATGGGCGAGCTTGTTCACACTTTGACCAGAAGTCGTCCTAAAACAATTGGATATGGAATTAATACACTTATCTCGAGGGAATGGCAATTTGTGGAGTTGATGTCATCGTCAAAACCTAAATTGTTTATTAAAGAAGTTAACTCATATAATGAAATATTCTTTAAAATGTTTACTCATTATCAAGTGCCTGTTTTTTATCGTTTCAAATTTTAAATTATTTGTTGAGTTATGCTACATAAACATGGTTGAAAATAAGATTTTTAAACAGAGGAAATAAATAACTGCTGACGCGCTGTCCCTGTCCCTATTCGTGAACCCTATCACATGCCCTTGTTTGACTAGCATAATAATTATTCATTATAGTATCACTATTTTTCACATATTTACACAATAAAATATTTTACACACAAACCAATAATATTCTTTTACTTTTTAACCACACGTTTTTCAAAAAATATTATTCAAAACTCTTTAATTTTTCAAATAATATGTGAAAAACCTGAGCCAAATTTCATATCCACACCACCTCAACGAAAATAATTATTGTGAACATGTCAATTTTAAAATGCGCCTTTGACGAGTATGTTAAAATTGAGTTATAAAATTAGAGTCTTGCTATATTTACATCAAACTTTATATAATATGTTATATAATGTCACATGTCACTTTATCATTTATTAATTTAAAACACAATCAACTTTTTCATCAAATATTTTTCCTTCACATCATTTTATATAACCCCTTATGTACCACTTTTATGTACAAATAGCATAATCCATAAAATTAAGCCCTATATGGAAATGATTGAAATCAAAATTTTAATTTAAGTCAAAGTCAACAATTAATTTTAATAACATGTTTAATGGGTATCACAACATTATCAAAATTTACTAAAAATTTGATTTTAATTTCTACCAAATAGAGACAGTTTAGACAACCACTATCACTCAATCCTTAGCTCCTAAGTATCCTTGATTTATTTTAGTTAGGGCTGGACATGCCGATTCGATTCAATTCTAAAGAGAACTAAATTGAACCCGAATTTTCAGATATTTAATAAGTGGAATGGTCCAAATTTAGTTATGGAATCATTCAGTTCGGTTCGGTTCGGTTCCCAAATTCTCTATTATAAATAATTTTATTTAATGTTTACAACAACGCTACATTAGTTCAACTAATAACATGTTTAATTTTAGCTCTTACAAAATAACGTATTTCAATCATATGATATCTTTTGCCACTCTATTTGCTAAGTTTATCATATATTTGACCGTTAAAATCATAGGAAGAAAAAGATAAAGAGCTCACAATAATGAAAAGAGGCACGGACGAGCTTCGAATTCAATTTTTTTAGAACAACAAAAACAACATTACAGTAGAATAAGAAATTTGGGTAAAATTTAGATCAATTTAATTAAATTCAATTAGGCTGAAAATTATAAATATGAAAATCATATTTTGGATTTTGGCTAAATCAATTAGTTAGCAGATTTATTTAGAAAAAATAAAATAATTTAGCTCATTTAAAATTAAAAAATTAGGAAAATTCGATTCCTATTCAGTTTTTCGATTCTTGATCTAGAACCAAGAACCTAACCAAACCCATCGATTCTCAATTCAAATATCAAATCGGGTATTTAATTTAAAGAGAATCATTCGGTTCGATTAGGTTCAAGCCCAATTCAGTTCGAAATGTCCAGCCCTAGTTTTGGCTCCGGACTCTTTGCTTGAGTGTCTATGTTGATGGTCCAAAAGTTTAGCCATGGGCTCCTATTTTGTTGTTACTTACTGTTAGATTCTATATTTTAATTGGCATTCTATGAACAAAAATGACTTAATTGTATACGTCTAAAAGTCAAGGCGTGAAGTGCAATAACGTATAGTTGAGTTGGGCTACGGTTTGAGCTTGTAAAATTAGGGGTCCATAAGTAAAAGTCTCTATATATATGTATATATGCATAGAAGAAGAGGGTTGTCCGTTGAAGACATATACATATAAACACTCGAAAATTGGGCATCTTGGGAGAGTCAAGAAATTGATATTACTGAGTTTAATTATATATACTTGCACGCAGAGACAAAAGTGAAGAGAATAAGATTGCTTGTTGGTGAAGACTGCTGGTGGAATTAACAAGTGTTAGTTGCTGAATTTGGACCATATAACAACACAAAAATTTAGGCAGTAGAGGGGCTGGTTGCTGCCATAATTTATATGCACAGACAAAGACAAAAACATTAGCTGCTGGATGAATTAAAAGGTGGTGCTGCTGAATTTAAATTATTATCCACATGCATGCAGAGACGAAGTGGATTTGAAGACTGTTCTTATTATAAATATATACAATATTATTGGCGACAGTTTTTGGAATAATTGAGGGTGGTCGACTGCTGAAATTGTATTATATATATCCACAGAAATTGAGGCAAAAAACGTGGCTGCTTGAGGAATTAGAAAGAAGTTGTGGTGCTGAAATTGTTTCATACCTATACACGAAAATTGAGGCGGTGGTTGCTACTTTGTTCCATCAGTGAGAGAAAATTTCATATCTTTGTTCAAGAGATCCAAGGCGAAATCAATTGGTGAATTCATCCATAACACATTGTGATCCGGCAACCGATCTTTTGGGGAAAAACATCAATCTTGTGAAGACAAAACACTGTGGTTCCTTAATCCTTTGAGGAACGGACTCTCTCATTGGGGGATTGAGAGAGGTAGACAACAAGCGCAGGAACTAGACAAGAACAGGAGGTTCTTGGAATTCCACTTGGTGATACAATCAGCTAAAGACTAAGAGGCTGTATTGGACAGCAGATTGGGCTGCATGAAGTAGATCGGGAAGCTAACAGGAGACTAGTAGTATCTACGACAGTAGATCGTGAGACTAGAACAACGGGTCTGACTAGGTACGGAGTTTGGCAGAACTTGTACTTGCTGGATTGGTATAGTAGAAATTACTAGCTTGGTCCCAGAGTTTTACCCACATTGGCGTTTCTCGATCATCAAACAACTCTGTTCTTTATATTTCTGCAATTTACTTATTTTCGATAATTCACCGTAGGATAGTAAAGCATGTGAATTGATTTGGACATATTAATAATTGTGACTTGTTGCATTTATTAATTAATTTGTAAAATTTCGCATAAACACCTATTCACCTCCCCCTAGGTGTTATTTGGGTTAAACTACGTTATTTCACTTACAATTTATATTCATGCTCCCGTCTTAGGGTTCGACATCGACTTCTAGCCCACATCTCAATTGTTATGAGAATGTGGAGACATCTATATCAGTTGATGTTGAAAATACAATACAAATTGATACAGAATCTGTACTGCTAATGGTGGTTCACCAATAGGGGCCATTTTGTAGGATTCTTCAGATGATTTGATTGCAATGATAGACACGTAAATCGATGATGGATTTATATTATACCAACAGGAAGAACCCTAAGGCCTCAGGTACTCTTCACTCTGCAAAGCGAGTCACTAATAGTAGTAGTAACACAGGTGTTGTATCCCACTCTTAACCTGTCCAATGTGTATCTTTAAATGGAATGTAAGTGGTATAGCTAGTACTACTTGTAGATGTCTTAAAAAAGCTTGATCAACTCTATTATATTTACTTCCTCGTGATTTTGGAGCAATTTGCCTTGTATAAGAACTTTAACTTTATTTGACAATCCTTATCATTTGATTTAAGAGTAGAGAATGTGTCGAATGAAGTATGGTACTTCTACAATGTAGGGACTATCGTTATTGTTCTTGCAGATCATCCCCAATTAGCATACTAAAATTGAGTATATTAGACTAGCAAGATCAATTTATATATCTCAAGTCTATGCTTTTGTTATCATGTCAATATGAGGAACTTATAGATGGGTCTTCACCATATTTTCATCATTATGTATGGACATTGCTGATTGTAGGAGATGTTAAAACTGTCACATATCATGGTTAGTTTTCATGTAGGAATATACACAGGACAGAACCATTTGTGACTTTCTATGATAGGATGATAGATTAGGATTTGATTGATGCTGGATCTTTCATACGGTATTCTTTTTCTTTTTTTTTATGATAACTCAGTTATCCAAATTTCGCCTGACTATCCTGAGAGTGGCGACCTTCCCCTTGATTCACCACTCCGGTAAATCCGGATGTGGTCACAGCTTATATGCACTTGGACCGGACATTCAGGATGAGATTTTCCTCCCTATAGACCTCCCTTTACGATGTGCGGACAGGATCCTCGGAGGGGCGACAAAGTGCATTTTCGAACCTCCGATGCTCCGTATAGAACCCTCCTATTTTACCACTACGCTAAGCCCATAAAGGCTTTTCATATGGTATTCTTGGAACAATGGAAGGTTGTAACATGTTTGGATAGAGTTTTGAATAATTCTTCGATTGTATTCTTATGTCGACAATTATCTATGAGGCGCTTAAATTGAACTTTTTACGATAAAATCCTTTTTGCTTCAAACTGTGGATGACTCTAGGCCTTTGACCTTCTGATTGTTTAATTTTGGATGAAGCATCATGCTTTTTTGACTTTTATCTCTCAGAAGTGGTCTCTCCCTAACTACCTTATATGGAAGGCTATTCTATGAAAGAAATTTTTCAAGCTTAAACAGAGATTTCATTGGAGGAATAAACATACGTTTGGTGACATCTTTTAATAGGTGAATAACATAGAGAGTAAGGTAGATAATGCTAAAGGAATGTAGAGCCAACACATGTATATCGTGATCTACTTCATCAGGCACAAAACTATGCTGAACATGACCTTAGCTATTGAGGTAGGGTACTAGATATAGAAAGTCGGTTCATGGTG